TTTTTTTTTTTTTTTTGTCTGGATTTAATTTTACAGATTTTATGTTCATTGCTAGAGAATTTGAAATTGCATAAATCGAGGCAACGGATCTTGGCCGTGAAATTGTTGCAGTGCCGTGTCTTTCATCCACAATGTCTCTGACTTCCTTAAATCATTTATTTTGTCTAAGCAAATTCAGGATGAAGATTTTATATGGCTAAGGATTGAAATTTCCAAAAAATTTTGTGTTTATTAATGAAGAATGCTAAAAGTAAAAACTCAACTAAGGGTGGAGGTAGTGGCATTACACAGATGGGCGGCTGACTTGGGGAAGTCAGGTGAGGGGAGGTTGTGGAATCGGGTGGGTTGTGGGGAAGCCGGGAAACCCAGGAATTCACCTAACAATATGGTTTGTTAATCTTGGAAAAGGGAGAAGAGTTTGCGAAATTGAAACGGGGATAACAGCAAATTTTTGAGGGATAAATCTATATGTACATAATTATTGTACATAATGGATTACATAGACCAATATAGAAGAAATTCAGTCGTAAATGTGAAGTGTGGAAAAGTCAAAAATGGTAGACTATCGATGGATGTGCGTCACATGTCAATTATGTAATGTATTATGTAAATGATTATGTACTTGTAGCATGGTCCATTTTTTAGTATAATGAAGCAGGGGCGATAAGGAAGGGAAGGCGAGGTGAGGTGGGGTGGAAAATAAAGTTTTAAAGGTTTGAGATCGTGGGTTACATATATAAAAAATTTGGGTATAATTTGCAAAAAAATTAAAAAGTTTGAGACTGCAACTACAATTATTCATTTTTAATTTTGGTAATTTTATTATTTTTAACGGTTATATTAACGAAATTGGATGGGAAAGGGTTTTCCGCACCTAAAAGATTATATTCCACACAAAATGTTTCAAATAAAGACCTTTTCTACTATTCCAATTGGTAAGAGATTTTTCGCACAATGTCTAATAGGTAGGAGATTTTCTGCTACTAAAGTCTACAAATAACTAAGTGCGTAACACTAGTAACTACGGTTAATAGTTACAATGGTATTGGTACGGAAGCGAAAGACGGAAGCACCCATTTGCAAATATATTAAACATTTTAATGATGTTTTAGATGTAAACTTGAATTTAATCATAGTCATTACCTTTTTCTTAGGCACATGTCACATGGTTATGATACAATTACGGGAACTCGTGAGCACATGATCCTGTCTAACTCGTCATTTTGAGGCCTGAATTCATGTACTGTATTATGTACGAAAATTTTAATTAATTTGTTTCCTCAAATGTACATTAAATAAAGATTAAACTACTTGCACCCTCCCTCGGATAAAGAGTTGTTGCTCACACATTTTATGCCGATGTTTAATGTTAGTTGTAACTGAACTTTCTTTCGTCTCAACTTTGTTCAGGAGCTTTTAAACTTAATTACGTTTCAGTTTGATCACCTTGTCGCTCAACTCTAATAATCAACTCAACGAATTTATTGTGTTGCAGACTGCACGAAATTGAGACAAAAATTAGGAATGGCAACAGGGTAGGACGGATCTCCCTGTACATCCACCACCCTTATCTTGGATTTAAATAGCCTCTTACGGGGAGATGGATTTTGTTTTAGTACGATAATAATAAGATTCGAGAAGGGTCCTGATCTGGGTTAAGGGATTTTGCCCTGACTCGCCTAGATTTCCCGACTAATCGGAGAATCTTCACCGCATTCACATTGGTGCAAGCGCAACGGGTTAGAGCGTTTTGTCATTACTATAGAGAAAATGAAGAAGTTGGGTAACTAAATTGGAACTTGAACAACATACATGTAAATGAGAATTACAAATTCATTCCCTTTCACTAATTGAAGAAAAAAACAAAAACCTTAATCAAACCAAATCTCCTCTCCATTAATAACACACGAAGAAAGGGTAAAAACAGAAACCTAATATCATTATTATTATTAGCAGAAAATCAACTACACGTCTGAGGGTGATGAGATGGTGAAGTCAGGTCACAATCTGGTGAATAACAGCTTCTCATCATGGAATCATTCAAGAAAAATACATCTTTTTTTTCTTCCATCAACTTCAATATTTTCTCGAACAATTCGACTTCACATGGAATCTTTAGCACTCCTTCTTGTTGAAACCCAAATTCTTCTTCTGCTTCTCTCAGCAAAATCCTGAATGCCTGGTGTCCAAGGTACTCCATTGGGATTACGAATCTTTTGAGCTCTTTCCCCGTGCAGACAGCGATATACCCTTTCGGGACTTGGTCGCTTGACACTGACGAAGAAATCGAGCTTTCCGTAAAGGAAAGTGTTTTCTTCAGAAACTTTATGCTCTTGCTCCCGCTGCCTAAGGCAACCGAGGTTGGCCCCGATACCGAGCTCGTCTTACTTTTATTGGCAAGCTTCTTCCATTTCTTGAGGATTTGTTGAAGCCTCACTATCTCCATAATCTTGTTCGACTTCCTCGAATCCATATAATCTGTGTATACCAAAAGAGAGCTTGGAATGTACTTATCGTAAAGCCTCTTGAGGTTGTTTGAATGGAATGCTGCATGTTAGAAAGTGGTGTGTGTATATATATATAGAGAGAGAGAGAGAGAGAGAGAAAGTGTGACAAAATTAATTATAAGTCATTAATGATTATAATTCATCAACGTACGTCGGTTGCATTATTAATTTGGTGCCTCAGAATCGCAACCTCATCTCGGGGCTTTGCAGTTTTTATTATTAATCTATTAATGTTAATTAATTAGTTTCAAAAGTCTTGCAATGACAGTAGTACTTGTACGTATTCTCTATATATTTGTAGAAATTAATTAATTAATTTAAATAATAGCTTACAAGTAAAGAAATAAAGAAATAAATTTGCTCAGATCTCTAAGAGTTTAATATTTACTAGTGGAATATGGTCATTGCAATTGGATTGTTGTAGTCAAACCAATTATTAGAAGAGTTGTGCACTTGAATTACAAAGTTGAGTTACAAAGTTAATGGCAAAATAACATTTACACCAATCNAAATAATATCTACACCAACCATTTTTAAAACAGCTTTTTAAATCATTTTAAATCAACGATCTGAATTTTGCCAACATACTTTGTAACCCAACTTTATACAAATAGCTTTATGTTATTAGAAAGTATATATTTTTATATATATATAGTAAATTACATATGCATCATTTAACTTTCGGCAAAATCTCATTAAATTTTAACTTGTCTCGATTAGATACTTTAACTTTATTTGAACTAGATCGCTGAAGTTCAATATAGTTTCAAATATTCCCGTTTCATCACCAACGATCTTTCAAATTGATGAATATAACTTAATTGATAGACATACTGCAACAGATCTTCCACATAACATTAGCATGCTTAACCTTTTAATTCAAAGTTATTGGTATAATCTTCGTTTTACCATTTCTTGTCTCTAAGGTTACACTCATTACGTGGAAGATCGATTATAGTATAACTCTCAATTATGCAAATGCCAGTTTGAGGGATAAGAGACGATGAATTGGACATAGTGGTGAAATTTGAAACTAAATTGAAGCTTGGTAATTTATTCGAGACAAATTAAAGAGATTAGTAATCCAATTCAGATTTCGCTGAAAGTTTGGTGACCCTGATGAAATTTACTCAAATATATTCAGTTTGTACTAACACTCCAAGTGGGCCTAGCTTTGGTATCTGCAAATGCAATTGATTTTTAACTCATTTATTGCATATTTAATTGCTAGTTTCTTTGTACTTTGTGCTTTTTGTTTAGTGCTAGATGTGAGTGGGCTCCACCGTTATGTAACTCTTTATGTACAAAAATTATGTACATCCAGAATTATTCTTTTGTTTATTGGGTTTGGAGTGCTTAGAAGATCGTGGAAGATGGCATCACAACAATTCCATGTGATTTCTCAAATTTAAATTGAATAACAATCTTTTAAATATATTGAACTTGGCCTTTTAATATGTTTTTGTCATTTAATTAAAAATTAATTTACCTCTCCCATACCCATTGTCAGTGATTCATGTTCTCATCCAGCTTCTAACTTGTGAAATTATTGTTGCCAAGTTTAAACAATATGAAATTGATAGATTCTATTGATATCCCAAGCCCATGGTTTCAATTCTTGAGAAGATGTAAAGGTGTAACGAGTCGAGGAATCAAAAATCTTGTTGGTGACTTCTGATTTGATAAAAAGAAGTGATGTGTCGAGATGTCAAAAATGTATTAGATGGATAACAAATCTGGACTAACGGCTCATATTGTTCTCAATGTTCCTATATTTTTCATATTTGCTTCTCTCGTATTATATATGGCCGAAATGGATGAATGCTTATGCTGAGGACAATTCATGACGCATGAGTTGACGACTCACAACTCAATTAAGTATATTGGACAAAGATTTCTCCTTTCGCCCATCTTTCAAATGTTGAGTTGCCACACTTCGAGCAAATTCATTAGAACTTCCTCTTTCGTCTGGATGAAACACTGTTATATTTACATTATCTACAACAATTAGGGAACACTATTTTAACCAATTTTTGCTAAAGAAATAGATTGATCGAATAGTCGTCTCTTCTTCATAACTGATTATCAAAAGTTACATCTAATGAACTTTACTTGTCCATTTGACGAGGTGTTGACAAATAATATAAAATGGTCAACCATCCAATGATTACTCTTCCTTAATCTCTTGGAAGTAGAACTTCAAAAACTTTACATGTGATGGCATATGCATGTAATGGAGAATCATCCTTCAATGAAGCCATTAAAGTTGTTAATTAATGGTGGTTTGAGAGCTCACGTATTAACTATCATATAATAAAGAACATCAAGTCTTTTACCGTAGAGCATTTACCAAAATAGATAAGGACATTATACAAGAATCAAAATCAAGAATCATTCATTACAGATGTTCGAAAAAATAACTCAAGGGTCCTTCACTTTCACTCTTGACTCACAAATCTCGCAAAATGCACATTGGATTTTAAGAGGAGAGTCGAAAACAGAAGAAATTTGAGAGAAAACCGAAGAGATATGAAAGTTGCGTACACAATAACATGCGAAGACAAAGGGTAAAAGCTCTTTCAAATGAAACAGCCAAATAGCCCTTAATCCAACGGTTAGGAGAAGTCGCATGTTGACATCGAATTATTTCAAAGCCAAGATCAACAATGCCATTTAAAAACACATTTTAAATTAAAATGGAAGTGGTCAAAATTGTAAGGCAACGCCAATAATAATTAATAAAGACAACGAAATCCATAATTGGTAACAATTAAATTATTTAGGATTTTAATTATTGCCTTAGGTGATGGTCAAAGCTCTTAAATTAAGATGCTTAACAACGTTTTCTAATTTATTATTTTTGATCCGTTCTCATTTGATACTTTCACAAGTTGTGCAACTAGAAATTCAATTTTTAATGACGAAAAATTATTGTCATAAAAAGTCACTATTCGAAGATTTAGTTGAAAAATGATTATACGAGATACAAGTTGTAGACATCGAAAATTATATAGACAAAATTCAAGTCAACTTAGAATGTAAATGAAGATTTTATTGGTAATGACTTATAAATTACAAAAGTAAACTACAAGTGTTTTATTTTTTTTCCCAAATGAGATATTTTAAGTATGAAGTGTTGTTAACCTCCCCCCTTCTTGAGGATACCGTCCTCCTTTTTATAGGGATGGACAAGCATGTACACGTTATGTTCTTATCTTATCAGCTACAGTACCGAACTGGGAACTCATATCAATGGCTTGTCCCAATTTGTTGATGTCAAATCGATGTACAGGGTCGAATTGAGGAGGTACGTTAATAGCATATTTTGATTGGTTGATAAGTTCAGCTCCAGCATGTCATCGTAAATCTATCTTGCATGTGGCCCCAGTAATTAATGAACTAATTAGGAAATGAAGCTATAACATATGATTAGTAGAATTAGAAGGTGCTGACATGAACATATCCAAATGTAATTGATTGATCAGGAGGTTTGACAGTGTGTAAGGAATCGCTATTCATTATGTCTCCTCAAATAACAGCGAGCATTAGTACGAGCTGAACTCAAATACCTAATCTTATATTAGCATGAGTTTAATGCATATAACAAACTGTATTTAATGAGATCACAAGTCAGATATCAACACAAGTTTTCATCTATAAAAGTACAATTTCTTGTAATAATGTTGAAAGTGAACGCGACCTCTTATAATGTTAAGTACGTACGAAATTTAATTTGAAAATAATTCGAATGAATACATAAAATTCAGATAAAATATGGAAAAATAATTTCTCAATATTTTATTTGATCCACTCTACATCTCGTCCAATAGTTCAAGTTGTTAATAGAGTCATGTTTAATTTTGCATCTGAACATCAAACCTCATATCAATTCATGTCCCTCTTTGAACAGTTTTATGTGTCTAGAAATCGAGTCATAATATAACATTTTAATTTTAATTGACTGGGTGGGTGCGTGGGTGGGTGGGGTGAGATGGGGAGTCAGTGGACCCCTTATTCATTACCCAACAAAGCTATAATCCAATGCGAGCCATGCTACTATGACAGGATTTTTTGACAGGGTTTGGTGACCAACAACACTTGTCACCAAATCATTGGAAGATGGGTTTTTTTTAAACAAAACAGACGAATCACTACACGCCACATCATCGTTGTCATCAAACCCTGGCTCCAATCCCTGTCTGAGTATAATAATCCAATGCATTTTAATAAATTGGACAATGAATCATGAAGTTCGATGATGCTTAGACAAGTGATGACTAATAATGTATAGAGTTACTCGAACTTTTATTTTTTTAAAACTCATTTTCAAAAATATATTTTTTAATAAAATAATATTACACGTAAATTTAAAAAAAAAAATCTTATTTTTTAACCACATATTTTTCATCAAATCACTATTTAAAATGCAATCTCCATTCAATAATGTTCATCAAACGGGATATTATTTTCTTAGTGGTGGGTCCTAGTTTGATGCTCAATAGTGTGTGGGACCCTATTGATACGATGCAAAAAATAAAAAATAAATATTTAAATCCCATCAACCATCATTGTTATACATATCAAACAACACACACACATACATATAAAGTAGGTATATATAAAAGGAATATCAAGAGAGGAAGTTGATTTCTGCATCTGTTTAATTATTGTCCATAAAAAAATAAAATAAGCGTAGAATAAATTATTTACTTCCAATTGAAAAATACCAATCATCGATCTCACGATTGATAGAGCAACCACACCAAATCATGACAATGATTAGTATTTGTTAGATTTATAGTAAACTTCCAAATTATTCAATATCTTACTATCGAATTTGAGTTTTGTCATTTGTACCAGGGCGTGTATCACAACCCCACCTCCCCCCACAATGAGGGGGGCCCACCCATGAATAAAATAATGGGCAGGCCCCCCGTGTGGGGTCGGGTACACGGCCGTCTGTAGCAAAGCTCATCGAATTTTAAAGCAACCAACAAATCGAATTTCATATGATAATGCTGCATATAACTAACAAATCAAGATATATATGTCTAATTAGATATCGAGATTTATAGATTGATCTCGTGTTGTTTAACAAAAAGACAACCACAAAAGATTTTACATACGTCAAATAACAAACTGTCATGTTAATACCACGTAAATAATATTATTTTAAATAAAAAACTAGAATATAATAATCACTTTAATTCACCATAAAAGTTTTTTTTTCCAACACTAATACTATTTACATTGTAATATCTGCTCTAATTTCCATATATAATTCCTTATACAGTCTAATATGGGATGGCAAACAAAACTCAAGGATTATTCTGAAAAAAATAGAACTAAAAGGTTAACAATTACATAATAAAATGGCTGTTTGACTTCTAAAATTAGTTGACATATTCGAAATTCAGAACCGTTCCTCCAATTCAGAAATTTGACACACTTATTTAACAAATAATCGTGATTTTTCATTTAAGTTAATCTAGCGCTCAATATCTCATGGATCTCAAGTGATTATAATAAACTATTTCATGATCTTAGTGAATACATATTGATCGATGTATTGATTTAAATTTAACGTCGCGATTATTTACCAAATAAGTGTGTTAAATTTCTGAGTAGGAGAAACAATCTCGTTCTAGATTATGGTGCTCCAAAGCTCAATAGACCTTAGTTTTGCCCTAAAACGTTCAAAAACATAAGAGTCAATGATAAATTTCTTGTCAAATAATTGTTGATTGTATGTGGAAATACACCTCCATTATTAGTAACTTTTTCGAGGAACGGTGATGAAAACTACAAAACGCGTAGATAATAATTCGTTATCTAAATGTAGGGTTGATACTAAATTTTCACTTTGACCAAGTAGTAAAAGTAACTTTTAAATTATTATTATTATTATTAATGTTACATGATCATAAGCATACATGACACACACATAATTGGACAGTTAAAAAAAAAAAAAAACCAATCAGGTGCTATCAAGTTAGATGTCCATCTTTTCCATATCTTTGAACATGTTCAATCATCATTATTCGATTTCCTATCACTCACCGAACTTAGGGGGTGTCTGACACCCATTTTTGTGAAAAATGTGTTTTTGAATAGTGATTGATGGAAGAATGTGTGGTTAAAAAGTAAGGAGAATTTTTAAGATTATGTGTAATATTATTTTATTGATAGAATGTGTGGTTGAAATGAAGAAAGAGAAAGAATGAGAAAAAAATGGATACCAAACGGGGGCTTAATAAAATATTATCTCATTCATTACTCCATCTCCCTCATTTCATAAGGCACATCATTGAAGTCATTAATTTTTCAAACAAAAAGGCAGTGTGACAAACGACATTCTATTCAATTCAATGACTACATAAAAAATTTCGAAGTTTTGTGACCAATGTAAAACAAATGTTCAAAATACAACATAGGAATGGCGTCAAGGCGGGTCGGGATCGACGCCGGGTCGGGATCGAGGCAACCTCCCTGGCCCGCCACCGAGTAACTTTCTACCCCATTACCCGCTTAAGACAAGCCAAGACGAAACCCTTATCCCGTTTACTACCCATTTATTATTATTATTATTTTCATTTTTATATATAACTTATTTTATTGTCACAATTTATTAAAGTGAAATAATAATATATTTATTTATTTTTAAAAGTTAAATCATTCAAATATATTTGATAAATTAAGGCTTTTATTTTTTTCATATCTTTTAGATAATTTTAATTGCCATTTTCTATTAGAACTAATGAAATTTCGTGAAATTTTACATTTAAAATTGAATTCTAAAAAAAAATTAAACAGGGTGGGCCTCCAACCGCCCTAGGCAAAGTTACCCGCCTTGTTCCCATTCCCGACCCAAATACCCGATTAAGCGAGTAATCCCCGCCCTATTTGGGACACAACTCCGTGGGTATCGGGTTTGTAGGATTTTTTTGTCACATCTAGATTTGTGAAATTTTAAAAGAATTCTTAATTTTGAAATTGTATCTATTAACTCCCTTAAAAATGGAATGTTTCCTTTGTTTTATGACATATGGGAACCTAAAGAAATGCCCTTAATTTTGGGAAGGTTTTGAAAAAAAAAAAACATTATAAACATAAGCTAAATTATAAATACTATAATTTCAACCATTATATCCGTAAGAAATATGGTGAAATACAGCAGCGATTTACTAGCAGAAAATTCAAAATCTACACACTCCAAATCAAGTAAAATTGAAAACAAAAGAGAAAATTTTGCACAAATCAAAGTCAAAACAAGATCAAGGGTTGCTCCGCCCCCGTTTTGCAATCGTTCTTTCAAAACTCTTTTTTTTTTTTTTTCATACTCATTTGATTTCATCAAACCAAAATTGCAGAAATACTTCTGCGATTGCAGGAACAATATCCGTTCCCTTAAAATTACTCCAAGTTATCCATGGCATTTCACCAAATTACAAATTCCATTCCTAAATGCATGTAATCACAAAGAAAAGGGGGGTTTGCATTGACATCCAATAACACTTTTGTACCTGGTTTTCACAACTATCAGGGAAAGAGAATGGGTGATGGATCTCTCTGCAGCTTGCCATCAGATATGGCTAATTTCTTCATCTTTTCTTCGCACCAAAATAGTTGCTCTTTGCTAATCCTCGCCATTCGTAAAACCCTTGACACGATTTTGGCATCAATAAGTCCAAGCAACATTTCCGTGCCCTCTTGTGTACTAGGCCATGACTTCTTTTTATAGCTCTTCGTTCTCTTCCATTGTTCCTTCAGTTTCAATGCTTTCTGCAGTTTTTCAGATTCAAAATTTAGCAAGAAACGTATCCCGTATCTGAGGATACCTTCACACCATAAGATCATATTCACACTTTCATTTTCCTTTTTTTCAAGAATATCGTGCAATGAACACAAGGTACAAGAAGGCTAAAGCAATCATGAATAACTAGACGTCCCAAGAAGCCTAATTAGCAGTAAAAGAAGATGGACTGAGTTATAACTATTCACAAATAAATTTATCTGCCCACAGTTCAGTTCAGGCATCCAAATTGAGCTATCAGCTAAGCCTTGAGATTTCAACAGATCGAGAAAGACTACATACGATACGACAAGACATAAGGCCCGTTCGGGCGGGATTAAAAGCCAATTAAAATTGAAAATATGGCCGTTATTGGGCCCCACTCGTCTAATAAAAGTCAACAATAACGGCTATATTTTCAATTTTAATCTAATTTTAATCCCTCCCACACAAGCCCATAGATTTAAGCAGTCCAAAATCTTTTTCAGACATGGAAAGCTCGCTTGAGATGACCTAAGACTATGTGAAGAGAAAGAGACTAGTGCTGAAACAAAGAAACATCACAGGACTCTTGTGCAAGTGGAATTTACTTTCAAAGATGTGAAAATGTACGGTAATTGAGATTCTCTGTAATATCTTTCATTTAAAGAGAGTATTAATCTGAAGAAAAATCATTTCTATCTTGATATATTCACAGAACAGACTACTCAACTTCATGAATTCTTAAACTCTCCAGCACATTTATATGACAAAAATATGCCTGAACTGATCTTATTTGAATCCTTAAAACATATTGATTGCTTTCATCAGAAGGCTCATAAAACTCACCATGCTGAATTTTGTATAGATTTTTCTTTTGTATCATTGTAAAAGCAACCCATTATAAGAAGTTGATTAGTAAGTTCA